TAGCTGCCCTCGCAGGGCCCAAGAGCGGGATCCCCTACTGCAGGTACGTTTTCAGCACCTTGCTACCAGGCTCTTCGTTGGCCATTCCCTGGTAGCAGGTGGAATGGCCCCCTGCACATGTAACCTTTGCAAACAGGTGGTCCACACACACACACACACACACACACACACACACAGAGTCCTGTGCCAGATCTGCCAGACCTTCACCCCACCGCCATAAGCCTGCGGCTTCTGCGGCTGAGATGGACACTCTGGTTGGAGTTCCCTGTGTGAGAACCCACCCCAGAAAGAAGATCTTCTAGCCTGAAAATTAACTAAGAACAGACGTAATGTAGAGGTACCCAAACCTGATCAAGATCTTGGCCAATCATGCTACTTGTCACTCAGGCGACATGTTCTCCACCATCATACTCTATACACTCGCACCATCCACGTCCTAAACCACATACTGTTCGGCTTCCAGTAGTTGGACTCAACCAACCGATCCAACAATGTCGGCTTCTAAATGCTACTACATCCTCGTATATCTGATGTCTCTGTTGTACAGGCAAAAGCAAATGCTTTTGAGCTGCCATGCTATTGTGCTCTACATCCTCTCGCACACCTCGACCAACCATTCTCACTTGTGTGCACCTGTAAGGAGAGCCCACAATGCACTGTCAGCCCCTCTTCACATCCAAAAACATACTAAAAGCATATTGAAACTCTGCATACATCCTGAACCTCAGGCTCTGAAGCCCCAAGCCCTCCCAAGCCACCCCAAGCCACCGCCTCTGTTTTGGGAATCCCTGGTGTGAAAGATGTATACTGCCCCTATGGTTGGAGACGACCTACGGAGGATATCCCAAGATAGACCGCAGTGGATTGTACTCCCTTTCGGAGATACCCCAACAAGGGACCTCCAATTTGAAGAAGGCCCCGAGGAAAAGGCAACTAGCATCTGGCCTGGTGGCAGGCCCACAAAGCTATTGCCAGTTCCTGCCGGCACGCGCCAGGATTCTGTCGCAGGAGGAGGGCCGTGCCTGAGCGGGGATTAACGGGTCCACATGCCATCAGCACAGAAAACGAAGATGTTGCCTTGGTTACTCAGCGCAGCCTGGCAAACGAACCTTTGGTTTTGACTCTTTGCATAGTCTGTGCTGCATTGAGCATGGCCCGGCTGTTGACCAGGAAAACCACCAAGCTTGCGTTCAAAAGCTACCCTAGATGCTATGGAAAACACTAAGGTAAAGTAGAGAAGGATCAGGTACTGCATGCTTTTGGCACTCCTAGGGTGCGTTGCAGTCGGGATGAAGTTAGTCCACGAAGACGACACCATGATGAAGCGCTCAGCTGGGCCAAGCCTCCATGTGTATGTGTTATGCTTTGGCAGACCTCTCATCCAATTTTCATCCTTAAACCTCAGTAGCTACCTGTTGATACTCAGAGCTCTTCTTCCGACGCTGCAGCAAGATGTTGAGCCCTATGATGAATGGACAAACCGGTTAATTGCACTGTTTCATTGCCATAAACGTCGGAAGCCCCAGAACACCACTTTATGAACACTCCTACCCCCGTGCCAGGCCTGCCTGTCCAGTCTGTGTCTGCTACACCCAGCACTCCTAAACAGTTTTAACTCTAGCTACAAAACACCCCCCCCCTCCACTTCAGGCACTAAGCCATAAGCCCGGCGGCAGAACAAGGAGCTACTCACGGCACAGAGCACTTCGGAGCCTCACAAATGTGCTGATCTCTGAGGTTTGAGTGAAGCTTTGAAGTTCGGAGTCTCAGGCGTAGTGTTCGGCAACAGACAGCTCTGCATGGTTTCTGGAGTAGACCCCACTTGACCTCACCTTCAGTCTGAACCTGGTCACTGACGTGGTCGTATCAAGGAAACAGCCTGGTAGCACTGCTGCCACCACATCGTGGAAGCGCTGCCACACACGCAGGGCCACGTGCAACCTTCAAAGTTGAAAAACAAAGTGTATCCACTCATCGAGCAACTCATCCGTCTCAGTCCAGCTTGCACAGTGGAGCAGGTAAATGGTTGAGGGCGGATTAGGAGGTCACCCTATGACCCTGAGCCAAGTGCCCCAGGCCTGGCTGAAGATGCTGCAAAACCACTCTGCCTGGAAAGCCGAAAAAGTTTCAACAACAAGCTGGAACATGTGGCTGTTTCTGGCCTGCTACACGCTAAAGGAGGAGCATGCCTCACATCACCACAAGCCAAATACAAGGCCAGCTACATGCTAAAGGAGGAGCATGCCTCACGTCACCACAAGCCAAATACAAGCACCGCTCTCTGATGCTGCTTGCGTTTGACATTTGCTTCCACCACGCTTCACAGCCAGCTGCCGTGCCATACATCAATACCTCCTGAATTGCTGGCATTGTTTGCATTCCTTGCTCTGTCAAGGTGTATGACAACACCCGTACATTGAGGTGGCATCACCGAGAAGATGAGTCTTCACTCCCTAACCATAAACAAACCATGGGTCGCTATACTGAAAACACCCCATCTTTTTGGAAGCCCTCGCGCTTGACAATCCCCTCTTTGAATACAGCTCCCTACCACCCGTGAGCATCCGTAAGCATCGCCAGTGTGGCAGGGCCGGGGCCAAAGTGCGGAAGAGTGGGGAGAAGCTCGCCAGCAGCAGCTCCTTGTACCAGGGCTTTCAAAGGCTCAGGTTGGGCGATGCTCTTCCAAAGAGAAAATGGAAAGCTTGATCGGCTGGCGCGGAGGCGCGCTGAAAGTTGAGGAGTGGTCGAGATACTGCGAAAGACCAAGAAAATCATTATGGTGTTGCGGATCAGAGGATACCTCAGGAAAATACTACTCATTGTAGCCAATGTGCAGGCTGAGCTGTCGTACTCAAGTCATTCCTGATGGCGAGGTTGGTTTATCCGCTTGTCTCCATACTTGGGGACTTCGGTTGGGGGGGCTCGGGAATGTTGGGTCGTCAAGGGCACATTAAAAGAGCCGTGATTCTTCGTGGGACTTGACCGCTGCTGCCTGCTTTGCAGCAGAGTGGATGGAAAACTTAACGGTTCTGCACCAAGCTTTCTTGCTTCTCCGAATGTCTTCGCATAAATAAGAGCTGAAGATGCGACCAGCGGAATCAAAAGGTTCATCTACTCTTCTGGGCAATTTGCGAAAGCAAAACCTTACTCCTGCCGCAAATCTGAGACATTCACGGACCTTGGCATCCATCACAAGAATCCTTTTGTGCCCTGACGCTCTGGAACCAATGAACCTCGACTCTAGGCAGATAGTAGCTTCCATTTTCTTTTCAATTATCCCAATATACTATTATATTATACCCCATTATACTATAATAGTTTCCATTTTCTTTTCCAGTCCTGAGCAGGCGACTTATCGTCCGCAGCCCAGGCTGTGGCCCCAGCGCCTGGACCAGCCAAGCCAAGCTGTTGTGTTGCGGTTTGGAGGCTTGCCTTTTGCAAGATCAGTTCAGGTTTACTGTATGCTTGGCTTCCATTTGATTTCATTGAGATCAACGCCACGATTGCTATTACAGCAGACTTTTTGCGGGGATTCGGCTTCATGCTCAGCGTTGCAAGCTTTAGGAAGGGATGCAGCTGTCGAAACAAAGCTCCATGCTTGCGCTAGCCCTCGGAGGCATGGGATGGGAAACACGGATACTGCTCGCTCGGCTTTGGTCAGAATCCTCCCGCTGCCAGGCCAGAAAGTGCTGCTGCCACAAGGGTCTCCGCCGCCTCCACAAGGTGCCACTCCTCGGACGTCTCGGGGCTTCGGTGTTGGGCTTTTCCGCAAGGCTGAAACAACCAGGAACACGAGAGGCTTCATGGCGTTGCAGTCGGGTTGCCTTCATGCTCATGCTGGAGACCAGGAGGGACAAAATGGATGCAACTGCTATGTTCTGGAAGCAGAACTGACAGGAGGCTACCTTCGCAGATATCTTGCTAAGTTTCCCTTGCGCACAGAGGCACGGACGTTCATACGGACTCTTATTCTGGCCCAGCTGCAGACAGCTGTTTGGTAAACCCAGGAAACAGCTGTTCGTAGTTCGTAAGAGTCAGGACTTGTGCACAAGCGCAACCCGTCCCTGTAATGCGATCCCTGTTCTTGTCGGCCCACCCCACATGAATCCCAAGCAGATTCAGAAGCGACACCACATGCCTGCATATTTCGTCCTTCAGCGAGGAGCTTGTCTTTTCCAAAAAAGGAAGCTGCCAAAACAGAACCCTCTGAGCCCAGAACCGCCACTCCATCTGCCGAAGGCCTTGCAGGCTCGGGCGTTGAGCACTTTAACTTCGACGGGAAGGAGGCGCAGAGTGAAAAGCTGCATACGTCCGGGGGCTGAAAAGGCTTCCCTGATCGCGCTGTGTATACACTAGTAAGGAATGATCGAACTGTTTGTGTTCGGTGGAGGCAACGGGCTCAAGACCTCAACCCCACGGTCATCAGCCCAAACCCTACCAGTAACAGCTCCAACTCTCAGACCCTGTCCCATCCTTTCCCATCCATTCCCTGCCGCCTCCCAGCCATGCCCGCAGCTCTTTCAAGCAGTGCCTGCACCTGTGGCTTGAGAGCTGACTTGAGGCTTCAGCATGAAACTGGCATTTGTGTTCGAGCTGGATATTTCCCTGGATTGGATTTGGATAGCTAAACGCAGTACAGCCCGTCCTACATCACGGTTAGCATTCGAGGTCCACCGCAGCTGCGGTGGTCCAGAATTTGCAGAGTTGACCGCATACTGGGTCAGGCGCCTTTTGGCCGTCTAGAAGCTCGGACTCCAGAACGCAGCGGTCGCAATTGCAACGGAAGCCTGTCTCAGTTGCAAGTTGCCTGCATGAGCACAAGGTCAAATGAACCTAGGACAGTGTTTCATTGTGTGTGTGTGCGCGTGCAAAACAGGCTTGTGTGTGTGTGGGCATTGGCAGTGATGCAACAATGCACAGATTTCCTGGCTATTAAGCAATCTTCAAGTACCCAGAGCTTGTGGATGATTTCATTTGTGGACAGGCTGCGGTAGGAACGCTCCAACTCAGAACGGCGGCGATGAACAGGCTGAAGGACCTGGCACAGGCTGAAGGACCTGGCGCCTAACCAAGAATCTAAAGGTCCAATCCTGAAGGGGTGAAAAATGTGCATGTTAGGTTGTTCCAATCCTTTGCTTATGCGTTGTGCAGTCTTGTAGACTGCTAGCACCGAGATGCTTCACTACGGATAAGGAGACACACTCCTCCAATCCTGACATTATCTACCCAGCCCAACGCCTGCACGTAGCTGTCGACCAACTCCTGGAAATGACTTCAAACACAAAGCAAGTTTCCACACGAAGGACGTCCCTGTTTTCGTCAGCAAAGATAGATGGCGAATGGCGAGTGCACCCTCTGTAGCAGGTCTTCTGTGTAGGACGGAGTCGCAGCCCTTCATCAGGCTGCAATCCCTCTGATCCCCGGCCCAAGCAGCTTGTTAGGTCTGACACAAACCACCCGAAAGCTTGGACAGCGCTTCAAACACCCCACCTGTCCTCGCCCGCCTGCAGATCTTGTGCGGCCCGCACCACCATACGATCGTGCAGGATCACCTGAGACTGCAATGCTGAGTGCTGGAATCTTTGAAAGGGCACCTCGAAAGATGGTTCAGCTAGGTTCAGCTAAGTCTGACATCTGGGTGCTTCCACCTGTGGTACTCACTTGCAAAACACATGCAAGTCATGTAAGTGCGCACGGTCACATAGCTTGCAGCTAGCTGCCCGCTGCACATTGGGGCAGCAAGAGTGGTTTATGAAGCTAGCCAGCAGCCAGAGGCCTGCAGGGGGCGTTGCAAATCTTGAATGCCCCAAACTCATTGGGGAATCTCCTGTTCTCAGGCTCACTGCCCCCTACCTTCAAAGATCACAAACTACTCAAAAGATGCCCAACTGAGACCCCTCCAACTAGGTCGTGTTGTAGCAGATGAGAGGCTGCCAATCGGAGGAGTCAAAATGCCACTAGCTGATACTAGCTGATGTGCAAGCAGCAGGTACATCTATACAGACGCAGACTCCTGAACTTTGAGTTGACCTGAATTGATTTTCGAAGGAAGGAACTCTAGTGTAGCGGTTGCTTTCCAAGTCCCCGAGAGAGGACTATGTGAAGGGAGAAGGTGCAGTTTGAACACGTTGAAAATCTTCTGAAGGTGTGCTCCAGACAGGAGCCTTTGAAACTTTCAGGAAAAAAGAGACACCTGTGATCTTGCTCTTACCCTATGAGTTTTCTTGCCATCTGCGCTGTTCAGGGTTCAGACCCTGCCACCTTCACCTGAGCTGCAGACCCCAGTAAACATGGACTCTTGTTCCACAATGGAAAGCTGAGAGAGATGGCCTGAGCGCTGAGAATCCGAGTTCACTCTGACCTGATGCCAGTGCATGCTGAGCACCATGACTTTGGCAAGATCAGAGCAAAGTGAATCTTCTGACTCAACCGCTTCTGTTCTTCCTGCATTTGGGTGTCAACATCCCTTGGCCAAGCCCTGCTCGACTTCTGTCCGGGCTTCGCCTGAGCCTCGCTGCTGTCGATGTCAGAGAGGGCTATCTGATTGAACTTGAGGATCTCCTGGGCGCCCCATTAATGGAGAATCGAATGGAAAAGAAAATTGAAAATGAAATGGAAACTGCTATATATAGGGTTATGTAGTGGATTATAGGGGTTATAGTCTAAGCATGTCTCCCCAGTCTGCTAGCTACCAGGCCATGTTGAACTTGCTGGAGCATTGCCGGTGCCAACAAGGTGCTTTGTGAGGAAGGAACAAAGAACATGGGATAACTCCTTCGGCATCAAGCTAGTTGCGCAGCAAGAACGATGCTTGCATGACACAGGTCAATCGCTGCAGAGCTCACCGAACTTTGGACAGCAACAGCTCGCACTTCCTGACTACACCGACGTATGCCACACAGCACAACACAAAACAAACGAGCGCATTGGAGTACAATCACAACAGCAGTCAGAGCAGTAATAGCAACATACGTCTAAACTCCTGCTAGCTGGATCCGAGTCAAGATCAGTTGGCGGTTGGGGAGCCACTGGATTTCCAAAACCCAAATTGCCCCATCCAAACCGCCTCTCTGCTGCCAACGCGTCGTCAAGTTCCTGAATCTCCTCCTCATGGATGTTCACAGATGCTCTCATGAAATGCCAGTGGGGCTTCTCCGTAAATTTAGTACCTCCAATCAGCCTGCTGAGAATGACTCACCCACCCAAGCTAAGAGCCGCATCAAGTCTCTAAATGTCACTAACGAAATTCAAACACAAGTACAAAAATGGAAGCTGCAGCTGCAGCTGTTGAACTCCTGATGAGATGTCTCGTCTCACTACCATTGCTCGGGCTGAATGCTTACCATCGCCGCCCACCAGACCACCACCTAACTCAAGTGCCCTTGCCATCAACATCACTTGTGGAACTAAGAATCCCAAGTGCACCTCTTGTTGTCTGCAAGGCTTAGCAGAATTGCGACCCACCTCCTTGTCCTGGCCGCCGCTCGGCAAAGCATCCGGGTTGGCCAGCGCCGACACCTTACTCCAACCACTATTCCAAAATGCTGCAGGACGCGTTCGCTTGCGCTTTTGCAGGACGGCATGCTGCTGCACAAGGCTTTCACGCCCACTAGCCTGCTTGCCGCCTTGCACTCCCGACATCCTCTGCTTCACTATGGCTTGTGCCGGCAGGAGAGGCGGTTGCTTTTCCGAGGCTGCCGAACCTATGCATCCAGGGATCACTGCTTGGATACTAGCTCAGAAGTAATGATTGCAATAGGGTTCCAGGACTGTGGAGAATGCTGCATAATTGCGCATCCCAAGTGAAGTTGCGGCACTGCCAAGTAGAGCAGGTCCCTCTCTCAAGGCATGCTATTGCTTGTGGACTTCCTGTAGTTCAATTGGCTATAAGCTTGAGTTGTGCGAACCCGTTATAGCGCCACAAAGCGCGTGTGGGACACTAAGAGCTGTGCCAACATCTTCTGCTAAGTTCCTTGAACGGTCCATGGAACCAGGCTGCGACCAGGCTGAGATTGGAAAAGCATCATGAGCAGGATCCATAGCGCTGAAAAGATGCTGGAACCTCGGACTAAAAGATGGTGTAGGGCCTGGTCGTCATCAAGAAAGTCTGCACTGAAAACTCCTATCCCGCGTGAGGCTCGGCTCAAACCTTGCCCTCCATGGCAACGCAAGCCACAAAACTAATTTTGAAATGCCAAGACATTCCCATCCATTGAACCCGAAATACAAACATGCCAGAACGAGACCCCAGACCATCGAGTCTGCAAAACCTTTGCAGGAAACATCAAGCCTGTCATTAAAAAGGGGAACGTCTACATTTACATGAAGGGCATGCTCCGTGTTGCTGCTACATGCAAGCCTCAAGCAATTAAGCTCTTGGTGTATGATCACAAGTAGATTCACCCAGTGGGCCCGGTCGTTCTTCAGACCTGCATTGATAAGCCTTGAAGGCCCCGCTAAGATCCTGAAAAAAACACTGTCATGTCCAGAAATCAAGAAACACCTGTAAATTCCACAGAAAACCTCACATAAATGAGGATATGACCTGTAAATCCCTCGACCTGATTCCAACCTTCTTTCTACCTGTACCGAAGCTTTGGCTCAAATTCTCCATGAATGTTCGTTTGAAATGGTTTTACAGACAGCCTGTTACCTAGGGTCCTAATGAACACGACTCTACCGATTACAAGATTAACCAGACCTTATAAGGGTCATATGGAAAAATCCCATCAATCCACAGAAGCCTGATCTGATGAGCCCCCTAAAGACGAACCCACACCCGCCTCTGCTGAGGGCCGCCACAGCTGCACGCAGCGCGGTGCTGCCGTCCAGGCGCTGCCGCAGCGCTGAAGATAAGGAGCCCTTGTGGCCTTCAAGCAAGGTTGAAACTGCAGACCGTCAAAGTATGGACCTCTGGGAGCATCTTACGCAATAGGTGTCATGTTGCAAAGGGAACCCAAAAAGGAAGCAAATGTTGACTCCACAAGCTGAAGGTTAGAGGTGTGGGCGTTTGGGCTTCAAGGGGTAAGGTTGAGCGTTTCTTGGCAAATCCAACACCAACAGCAGAAAGCTACTTTCTCGACACAGTAGTGCAAAAAGCAACATCCCATCACAGAACAAACAGCATACTCATGATGATCAGGCAACTGTTGATGGTCGTACTCACAATGACAGCATAGTTGACAACAAGGACAAAAGGAATGACAATCAAGACAATACGCGCAGTGATGACGGTAAGCCAAATAGAAATGCCGCGGAGATGTTTATTTACACAAGCAAATCCAAAGCTGGAGTCATGGCAATGTCAGTAAGTGGGAGACACATGAACATTTTGAGATCTTGGTCAAATCTGAAAAGCTGACGCCCTAAAACCTAAATAGTAGCTACCATTTTATTATCCATTATCCCACTATCACCACAATATAACCCTAACATTATACATTATAACCCCAATGGGTACCTACATCCACGAGGTGTAGCCGTGTAGCCTGCAACCACCGCCCCGGCAACCAGCAGTAGCGACCCACGCGGCACAAACTCCGTGGCGAAGAGGCCACGGCCCTGTCCAGGATTGATGTAGGGGTAAATAATTGCTTAGTGCTTAGAAATTGTTTAACCTCGTCGACCTTTTCGAGTCTAGCACATGCAAAGGCTTAGGGTTTAGGGCTCAGAGCTAAGGGTTCAGGGCTTAGGGTTTCGAGCCTAGGGTTTAGGGTTTGGGGTTTAGGGTTTAGGACTTGGAGTTTAGGGTTTAGGGCTTGGTGCACGGTTTAGGATTTGGAGTTTAGGGCTAGAGCAGTGGACCACAAAGTGGATGATAATGAAATGTAAGTGACTGTAAGCGGGACTTTACAGCAGGGAGATTGTGGAGCCAAGCGAAAATGCAAACAAGCACCCGCCCGGGAGCAAACTGTGACGTCCGAACAAACACAAAAACAAGTGTCATGAAGGATTCCAAAGTTGGCTTGGGCCAGCATTGCTTGAAATGGGTAACATAGGGTTACATCGGGAATATATTATGCAGGTAGTATATTGGGGTAGAGATGGAAACTACTACACGATCATGGAAGGCATAAAGATATACATATACATATCTATGGATTATATTCTAGAGCCAAAAAGGAGCCAGAACCAAAACGCAGCACCCAAAAGGACCAGACTTCGCTAATGGATCTGAACGCCAAGAAACAAGGAAACAAGCACACACGTGACGCCTCAACAACACATACATATATATATGCATGCACTATATAACTGCAGTGTTCAATTTATTCTCCATGTTACTTTTCATGTAAGTATTCCTCCAGCCGTTCTATAACCGCAAGATGATAAGGCTACCACATTGTCTGAAATGCGTCCGTGTTGTGGTTACTTAACCCTGAACCCCATCCTGTATCCTTGAAGCAGGGAACCTCAGTGTGGTAACAAACCTCCTCAAGTTGATTGCACATAAAAGCATTTTGGAAGGTTTTTAATCTTAGGAGTACACCTATTATTGGCCATGGAGTGACTGCAACAGCCCGTTCCAAGGCAAACAGACGCATCCTGCACGAATTTCCGCAGAGCACTCATCAGAAGGCAGGGCTAGCAACGACTGCACCCTGAATCCAAAACCCTAAACCCTCAATTGTAGCTCCCATCTTATTTCCATGCCCCAACATATACCAAGATCATCCCCATATTATGTATTCCCTCTATAATCCATATATAACCCCTATACCCCCTCCCTAAACCCTAAACCCTAAACCCTAAACTGAGTGAGCCGGGGCCGTCGAGCAGGGCGAACGCGCCGAAGCCGACAGGCGAGGCAGCTCTGGAGCCTAAAGCCCTCCGGCGGGCGACAGAGCTCCCAGTCCCACAGGCAGCTGTGGGCTGCGCGGTAAGCCCGGCAGGCCGCTGGCGAGT